CCCCTCCCTGGCCCTGCTGCCCCCCCTGCTCTGGCTGCAGCCCAGGGCACGGGTGGGTTCTGGGCTGCCAGCGCACGGGGCTGCCTCATGTTGAGCTTCTTGTCAACCAACACCCCCAAGTCCTTTTTTGCAGGGCTGCTCTCAATCCACTCATTGCCCAACCTGGATTTGTTCCAGAATCACTGCTTTTCTGTTACTAATGAGATGGACTTTAGGAAGGAGGAATGGTTTCTCTACCAATTCAGAACAAACCTGGACCCTCAGTTGCTAAGAGTAGTTACTGGCTTGTACAGTGCCCTGTGCTGGAAGGGATTGCACGCTATGTGTGCCTGCGTGGTTCCACCATGAACAGTGCAATTGTACAGGGGGTAGAATAGTGAAAGCATTAAAAATGGTGCAACAAATAGAGTCTACTGACTAGTAATGAATAAAAATGCCCCAGTCCATTATATCAGCTACTTAGGTAGGTAGAGTGCTGGTAGTCTGGCAAAAGTATTAAGGCCCCTACTTTTGTTTAAAAAAAACCCCTAAACTATGAGAGCTTTAAAATCAAAAGTGACCTTTAAGTGTAATTTCTGTATCTTACCCAGAAACCTAGACATTACTGTATTTTCCTCTCATTTCCAAAAAATTTCTCTGCTAATCATTGACCACCTGCCCTCCCCTCTGGTGGTTTAAGGGGTGATAAATATCCCAGTGAGAGAGAATAAATTCAAAGAATACCCCGAGGCTCTGGAACTCGAGCTCTGGCCTTCTCTTTGCAAAATATGGTCCCATGCAAAAGCAAAGGATGTTGGATAAAACATCTGAAACTAGAACATAGAGGTGGGTGCATATTTCATGACAGACTGTTTTAACTTTCCAAATAGTCACCTCTTTTATGGCCAGAAGCTACTATTAATTATTTATCAGAACACTTATTTATACACTAAAAGCTAAATGCAATCCTTTCAGTGGAAGCCTGGCAGAGTGCGGGTTGAAATAAGTAGCTGTGGATAGTCCTTCAGGAGGATATGTTTTGTGCACAGTTCTGCTCAGGGAAGAGCCTGTTCACATTATTCTGTCTGCTGTGTGTCTCTGATAATGATATATACGTATGGGAGATTAAGACCTAGCCATTAGTAAAACTCCATAGCTGTAGATGCATCAGCTCGGAGAATTAGCTGTGTGCGCCTTTTCACGTTGCTCTTGTGGGCTGTGACAGGATGGCAGCTGCTCCTCTCCTCCCATGGCTGCACAAGGACTAACTCTGAAGATGCAAGATTGTCCTGGCCAAAATTCTGCAATAGTGGCCTTGGGTGCAGAAGCACATGCTCTGTAAGCGTAGCTATACTGTGGTCTGAGACAAATGCATCAGCAGCTATAGGTGAACAGATTTGAAATTGCTGTCTGCATTATACCGTCTGTTTTGGGTCTGTGCTACAGAATGCCTGGTCTTAGCATGGTTTGGGGGAGGCAAGAAACTTGTATGGTGGCCTCCGTGTGACATGAAGAAGCAGGGAAAACAAAGACTTCCCTAGGTTGTGAAAAGCAAACCAGACATGCAGCAGGTTTTCCTTTGGCCAAGCTAAGTAAGCCAAGTACAGTTCTTACTTCATCATCTTCCAAGGAAGAATAGGAAACCCCTTTCTTTTTGCTGCTTCTCTCGCAAAAGCAACCCACCCTGCCCAGGGTTCTACTTCTGTATTTGCTTCAGCTCTGCAAAACCCATCCTTACAGCAGAGGAAGGAAGATTAATTTGCTCCACTTGCCTGCACTTGGGGAAGGCAGTTGTGACCCTTCCTGTAGCCAGAGGGAAGGAAATAGGTTTAAATACTTCTCTGCTCTTTTCAAAATTGATTTTAAATCATCTCATCACAATACATGACTTCTGGTGCCAATGTGTTTTCTTCATCAAATACTGACATGGTTTCTACACTGTTGTGCTGTTGCTGTGTGATTCTGATGGCATTACTGTTTAGATAAAATGTTATTAGTTTTCTATAGCAACTGTTAATTTCAGCAGAATCTGTGATTTCATTGTAATTATTACTGACGGTAGTTGTAATAAATGTTTTGGATTGACGTGCATGGTTTTCATTTTCTTCAGCATGTGTGGTGTTGTGTTTTTTTTTTTTATGGCTCAAACAAGTTCTCTAATTTAAAATGTTGTCATAGATGGAAAATAAATTCTGTATTTGTATCTAGCACTCTTCTAGGTGGCTTACACTTCATGAGGGGCATTGCTTTAACATCTCAATAGGAGAAGCTGCTATATCAGCATTCTTCAGCCTTTCTCAAAATGTGAGACAGGACACTTTAACTTAATGCTCCAAGCAATTTCCAGCACAGAGACCCTCTTTCTCCCATAGTCCAGCCTCCCAACCTGATCTAATGGTCCTCAACTGCATCCCAGGCCTTGGAAAGTGTGGAGAGCCCTTGGCTCATCTTAAGCTCAGTGCTCTGTTCCTGAAATGACTCCACAGGCTGGGGAAATTGCCGCTTTCTGCACAATTCTGATTTATCCTTTCCTTCAGCCACCCAGGCCTCAGCTTGAAATGCTTTGCGGCTCATAGCCCAGGGTTCACTTTGCTCAGAAAAGCCCATTTTGCAGGTATGGAAAGCAGTTTCTTGGATGCCCCTAAGAAGCTGAAGTATTATGAAAGCTTTGCAAAGCAAACACTTGATGGAAGCAAACAGTGTATACACACAGCTGAAGCTCAGCCAGCCCTATGGTCATAGAGAGGCAGTCAAATCAAAACTGTTTGCGGGCTAAATCAGAAAGATTTGAAGCAGAAATGATCTCATTTTTGGGGTAAGAGATCATTATATTCTTTCCCTTACTGTTTGTAGAAAAATGAGAAACAAATCATCTTCTTCTAGTGGTATATGGGTAAATGTAATTTTTTGTTTATCTAACTGAAAACTCACTCACAACTACAAGTAACTCATCAGCATTTTCTTTGATCAGTGTTGCCCTGTGTTTGCAATAGGTGGCCATATTTTCCTTAAAATATCTCATTATACCTCCAAGATAATTCCTGTACTATTAGTCCTAGAAAAAGAAAAAAATATATCTTTACTATTAGCATATTTTTCTCCCACTCCTCCTGAATGATAGCTGAACTCTGGAAAAGCTCACGATTCCCTGCATGCTGCCACATCAGCTGAGTTTGATCAGTGCCATTGCAAAGAGCAATATAGCAGATATCACAACCTCTAAACATCCATAAAGTTTTAATAGCACTTCCAGTACTTTATAATGTGAGTTAACAAGGTGTTCAGACTGAAATGGAAGTATATGTGGGGGAAAATGTGTGTGTGTGTGTGTGTGTGTGTGTGTGTGCAAGTTGTCAGTCACTCAAGCATCCTGCTCTGTGCTTAAATCTAACCCTTTGGATTTGATTTACTCCAATAAAATGAAAGTTAGAGGAGCATTTCTCCAGCCTCACAGAAAACAGTGGTGTCAATAAGACATTAAGATAATCCTGCTTTCATTTCTGAGGCTTTCAGACATTAGGCATTTATTATGAATCAAAAAAATGGCCATGTTCTGAGGAAATGGCTCAAAAACTAATACATGATCTTAAACTTCTGCTCAGAGCAAGGCCATTAGAAACATCTAATCTAATTGAGCAGATCATAGTATTTGAATTGATAAGATTCAGAAATAAACTGGAAGCCAAGAATTTCCTTAGTTAAATGTGACTTGGCATTTCCTCTCCCCCCCCTTCTTTAGAGCAGCATTTCAGAAAGCAAGTCAGACAGTGCAGCTTGGCTGATGGAAAAATGTGCCTGATGAGAATACACAGACATGATGGGGCAAGACAGGAAAGCACCTGGCAGCATTGCCAACTATTTCAACTTTATCAACAAGGAGATACTGCTATTATTCCACAAGCTGAGCCTTTTATAGCAGAGGGATCATACTTAAAAACTACTGAAGAAGCAGGGTGAAAATTACTTATTTATCTTTTTATCTTTTGCTCTGATAACAGAGGTAGAAAAGGCAGAATAACCTGCTACATGGCGCAGGCCAGATTCTGCAACATTTATTCACAGGAAAGAAGGGTCCAATTCAACATGATTAAGAGCTACAGAAGTTAGTAAAAAACGCTATGGTAAATTCCCTGGGGGAAAAGAGAACTTAATGAGTGTGAGGTTTTGTATGAATGTGTGGTTATGTTAGTGTTGTGCTTGTAGGAAGAGGCTTATTCAGCTCTAAACATTTCTGCTTTGAGCCTGTATTCCCAGCAGCAATGACTTGGAGCCAGGGTGTTAGCTGTAAGATAAAAATGCTGGGCTGCTGCTGTGCTCTGACTCTGTAGTCATCTGAAGAGCAAATGCTGATTTCTACGGCTTTCTTCTTACTACCTGAAACAATCCTTGTTTCCACACTATGACTGATCATGCTGTTTAAAAAAAAAAATGTTGCTGACAGATCTTTGGATATCAAACCAGTGGAAAAGAGCAGCTCTTGGCTTCCTCACAGGACAATTACTCTTACTTTAAATAGTGCATGTTTACTATATTTTCATGGAAAGCTTTCACGTTGTCATTTTAATACATTAGTTTTGCTTAACTTTGCTAGATGGAAGCAAATAAAAGAAAAGTGTAGGGAATAGACTAAAGAAGAATTGCAACCTTATTCTCCTTTTTCCTCACGTAACTTCCCATGCTCTAACTTCTGTGGTCTTTCATACATCTAGCCAGACAACTCTTTCCTCTTGGAGGGTGCACATCCTTTTACATCAAGGGCACTTGCGTGCAAACATGGCAAAGACTATCTCAAACTTCCAAATAATCCTTTGAATGCCAGGCTCTAGGCAGCTTTCTGAAGTACTTACTATGCATAATTAGGTTCTACACAAACCATTTTACGCACTGTGTGGGTATTTATACCTACTCAGGAACTGTTTTCTTGTCTCTCAGTACCGGCACTGTCTGGATAGTCGTACAAATATATACCCAGATTTATAGGTTAACACCGCGATATGTGCAGAAGCTGAACAATAGCTTACCTAGAGAAGAATTTCTCTTCCTAGCGTGCAGGAAAGAGACATCTGCTATTCAAATCTCTTCACGTGGCTCCAGGTAAGCTAGGGAGAGTTTTCAATTGATAGCAGCTGTCTGAGCGGCATCCCGGGAAGGTTCCTCTTGCTCCAGCCCCATTAACTGAACTCTGCCGGCACAGTCACATCTCATTTATACACAGACTGTCCTTTTCAAAACAAGCAGCCGGCTGGAATGATTCAAACCTCTGTTCAGCACACTGTTAAAAACGCAGCTTCCTTCTCGGACATGGGGATTACACCGGGGAGCAGCCAGGCTATAGCAAAAAGGCTGCGAGAACTATTTAATCACCCGGCTACCAGCTGCTCCCATTACTACTGCTGGTGCTGCCGCCGTGCCTCCTGTTTGCTGTAGTCAGCTTCCCTCTCCCTCGTATCTACAAGAGTATCGAGGCGGCTTTGCAGGGTGGTGATTGGCAGAAGCGGCCAATTCCTCCAGCTAATCAACCCCCAGACTTTCAAGGACTCGGAGCTGCTCTGATGTCATTCCAGTCGCGGGGGGATGCTTCACGCGAGGACGTGGCGACGGAGGCTAATTCGGAGATGAGCTGCATTCCTCTCCCGCCGCCGTGATTGATTAGATGCTCCGGGAGGATTTGCATAATCTGTCATTGTGCAGTTGGACCACCTCCCCGCCTGCCCGCCCAAAATGCGGGCGGAAAATGCCACTTTCAGCTGCCGATTTTACACCTGGAGCCCGCAACTGAAAGCCTGGGAAAAAGAAAAAGTTGAAAGAATCGTTTTCCATCAGGAGAATGCTTAAGCCTCCAGCCCCCCACACCATCCCCAGATGTTAAAGGAGGGAGGCTCATGAAAATCCCAATACTAGAAGACTTTTTGCTTCCTACTCTTGTTAGGTCACTGATAAGATCACCTAGTACAACAAAATGTGATTTTTTTTTAATGTGTGAACAAAATCAAGCAGAGGTCGCCCAGCAAGTTGGTTACAAATGACCTCCCTGACACCACTTCTGGGTGGATACCAGCAAACGCGGTGCTCAGAGGTGCAAAGTATTTTCCTACCGTATGCATCACATTCCATCTATTTGTTGCATAATTTCCTATTAAAATCCTTTATCTCATCCAGCTAGAGATGAAACCTACCTCCATAGCCAAGAAACATGATTGTTATGCGACTTTAAATCATATTACAGAGAAAAAGTAAACACTTTCTATATTAAAAAAAATTAGATTTTATACCAATCTAATTTTCAATTTTTGCCAGCTTGACACCTTTCACTCCAAAACTGTTCTTCGTACGATACACCTCGGAATTGAAATTCAGCCAATTCTGTGCAGCAAATGTGAGGAGAAAATAGTTTTGTTCAAGGAGACTGGAACAAACCCATTCTGAGATGATGAATGACGCTGTAAACTCAGATTTGAATCATAGGAGGGTCAGCTCAACCTTTCGTGTTTCCAAAATAGTGTAAATAAATGGTGTTCCATGCAGTTTACCATTTACATCCTTCAGCTGGGACCTTCTGCATGAAGAGCTGTTTTCTCTCTGTGAATATCTAAGTTTCAAAGATGGTAGATATTCCTAACTGGGAACTAATTTATTCCTTCTGGCTAAATTAGAAACTGAGGGAATATTAAAATTCAAGGTAAGTCTGAGTCATTTCTAGCAATTTGTAATTACAAAGCAATCGCTGGGGGTCTTTTGAAAATGCCGTACACCTATTTTGACTCTGGATTTGGGGTTTGTTTTCCAAAGACGGTTGCGAAAGTTGGGTGTGGGGTTCCCACTGCAAGTGGGTGGTGAGCGGGTGCCTCCTTACATCCTGTATGAAGATCAGAACTTAAGTCAGTCTGTAAACTAAAACAACCTCCAAATCAAGTGAGAGGATCTTTTCCCAGCATAAGGAAGACTTCTGGTGTAGTGGGTTAAAAATGGCAAAAAATGCTAGAGCTTCCTATTACTAATCTGGTGGTGCGAAAAGAAAAAGTCCAGTTGTTTTCTTCCTCTTTCTACTCGTATACTTGACTCTTAGCTGTACTTCAAGCACTGGAGACGTCCCTGTGAGCGGGAAGGTTTGGCCCCAGGGTGCGAGCACGGTGCAGGGAGGCTCTCGGCTGCCGCCAGATGTGGTGGGAGCAGCTCCCCACCCCTTTGAAGCCGCTGCTGCAGATGTTCCCGGGACGGGCCAGTGGCCAACCGGTTACGCATACCATTGGGAGTGTATTTTAATTCAGACGCTAAAGTCGCTCTTTGAACTTAAATCCTTGGCTTAAGAGCGTGCCACGCTAGATGAATTCGACATGAAGAAGCATGGCTGTTGATTCCCGCTGCCTTGGTATCTGTTTGCTTTGTTAGAGATTCATTTTAAGTGGAGGACCAGGCAACTTACTATGCCAGGGTCTGACCTTATTAGAAATGTGTGGAAATCGGTTGGCAGAATCGCTCCAGCTCTCTTTATGTAAGAAAAAGAGCACACCCACCCTTGGGAAAAAGACAGTACAATTTGAATTTTCACTTCTCTCTCCTTTGGGTAGTAGCAAGAATTTAACTCTTTTCCTCAGACACAAATACACTTGAGTTATCATGATTGGAAGGACATCCTATGTATTATTCTCATGATCTGCTTTGGGGAAAAACATACAAGAAAGAAGCAAGACAGCAGAAACAACAAGAAACAAAAGTGAAGTATGGATGGAGAGAAACAGTAAAAGAAAGGAAATTCTAGTAATAAACTACCATAATAATGAGGTACCACATTTATGCTGAAATCATTGACGCAGTATGTGTGTTTTTCTGGGCCTTACCTGCAGCATGGATTTTACATTAGCCGGTGGAAATTCTGTACTAGTTAATACATGTCATTTATTTTCCCCCCTTTGCAGGTAGGCAATCACAACTCTCTAGCCATCCTATCTTAGTAGTTCAAAAGCTATAGATGAAACCTACCAGTACTTTGCCCAAAACTAGTATTACCTTTCTGAAACATGACTTTTTGGTTTGTTTTTTGTTTTTTTTTTTTTTTTTTTTTTAACTGTGGGTTTGTGCATTCTGTAACTTCACAAGACTTTGAATCAGATTTTTTTTTTTTAAAAAAGGTGCATCTACATTTACATTAAAGGCAACTGCTGAAAATTCATCATCCTTCTTCTACCTAGATGCTTAAATCCAGACTCTAATGCTCATAGCTATCTATTCTAAGTACTATACTATCACGGCAATGTCTGTGCATGTATTTTTAATGTATTTATCTTCACAGCACATTATGAGGTAGGAAAACACAATTCCTTCAGTTCCTTGCTTAGAAACATGATACAGACCAAGGAAATACTTTCAAAAATTAACATGTATAATATATGATATCTCCCTGGTTCACTCTTCTAAATTATTTGGAAACTTTCACTGAAATATTTGGATTGATGTTCTGCTGTTATTTTGTTGCGCTTTTGTTTTTTCTGACTGCCCCCAGTTTTCTCACCTGTTATTACAGTGCTCTGATGACACTTGAATAGATACTCACTACTTCTCTTGAAACCTACCTTGCAGCAGGAACACTACGCTTCAAAATTAAGTTGACTACAACACATATAACTGCCTCTTTCACCTAAAGACACCTTTAAGGTCCTTACTGAAAGAAGGATGGCTTTTGACACTTCAGTTTATAATGAGTTTAAAAGAATAAAAATGACTGTTGCTGAAAGCACCAGTTTTTCTTTGAGCTGTAGAGACTTATGAACTTCCCTGTAATTAAACAGCGTGTCTTCTATTAAACACAAAACAGTTCTTCAGCTGGTGTAAACTGTCAAAATATCCATTGATTTCAGAAGAACTATGACAACTGGTAAGAGTTATAGATTAGACTCTAATTCTTTAGCAGCTCCTCAGTATATGCAGAACTTAATTACACTCACATCAAAAGTGCAAGAAACATATAGACATAGCAGAATGTGCTTACTTTGGAGTATTCAAACATATATTTCATTAAGAATAGTCTGTTTGGGTTTTTTGATGTCTCAATAAGTTGTTAGTTTTTTTAATCTGAATATTTTGGCTTTGACCCAAAATGTGTTAGAGGGTTTATATACTCAGAAATGTAGGGATGAAATACAGATATGCTTGGAGCCGAGTTTCACACATCACAACTCAGTTAACGCATTCATGTCTTCTACTGAAAGTGCCTGCCTTGTCACAGGTTATTCCTATTTCCCAGATGACAGTGGAGAATATGCTGCCAGTAGTCCACTTAAGCATGAAGCCCTGATTTGAAACATTGACAGCAAAAATGATGCAAAGCTCCTACAAGTGAAACAAAAAAAAAATTGCAAAAAGTATGAATTAGATTCCTTGACTGGTGACTGTCTCCAGTTTCTATTCAGCTTCTACCATCCTCCCCTGTTTATGGTTGGACACACTTCTGCAAATGACAAAGTCAAATCAGTGCATACCAGTTCTGTAATGACTTTTATCTCAAACTTTTATTCCTTTGTAAAATAACTTTGATATCCTGGTGTGTTTTAGTTTCTATAAGGCTTCGGATGTATTAGTTTCAGAGTGTGTGTTGATATAAACTAATGTTGAAAGATCTATTAAACCAACATACATTCATTAACATCTAGCATTAGAGCTGCTCCACATCTCTAATTGCATTATTATTTTATGTCTTAAGTGCTTATTCAACTACAAAAATACAAACTCTGGTCTTTTAAGTACTGTTGTCAAGATACTATCAAAGCAAAAAACGAGTTTCTTCTGCTTAATCTGCAGTTTGATCTGTGTCGCCACCTCCTCAGTTGCCAGCTCACTGTGACACTGAGACAAGGATTCATGTTGTGTGAGAGAAAAGCACATCTTTGTGTTATCCATAAAGCCTTTTGGGCTCTTTCCCACAATTTTCCTTACAGAATCCTTCCTGGGTTCAGCTGTGGCCTGAACTCAGCAGACAGCTCCTGGGAAGTAAACAGACTGGAGCTTAGAAAGAGAAGAGCTTTTCCCCAGGCCACACTTTAATGCAGCAGGTGGGGCTGAAGCACCAGAGGAGGTTTATGTTGTGCTCAGCCCCCTTGTGATTTGTGTTTGCACCTGTAATGCCTTTGCAATGCATGGGAGCTGTTTCTCATTTGGTCTGTTTTCATGAACACTGTTCTTGTGACCTCCATTCTGGTAACCAAGTCAATCTATATTTGTAAATCCTCCCAGAAACCAGACTAAAAGCAGATCCGATTCATCCGCCTGCCTTGCTCAGAAAAGCTTGTTGCTACCTCCATTGCATTGCAAACTGTCGCAAACACAGATGTTTGTTGATCTAGGAACTCTGGTGGCACGCCCATTTCCCCTTTCTGTGGAAGTATGAGGAATCCGTTACTGTATTTCTTTCTCCTGTGTGACTCATGAAAGTTATCCTTCATCAGAGATCACCCTATAGTTTCTCTCATCCCCAGTGCTGCAGAAGTGTTGTCATCCTGTTGTTCATCAGCTGCAGTGTTGTTCTCTGGTGCCTGCTCACAACCCCAGTTCAGGCTGTGGAAGTGATTTATTTTAATGGGTAACACATTTTACACATCATTGCTTTACGGCAGCTAGAGGAACTCCTTACG